TTGTTGTTGAATTGTTGTTATTTGAATTGTTTTTGGTTCAAGAAGTACTGGATTCTTCTTGTAAGTCTTGTTCTTTACTGATATTTTCTATTTGAAGGACTGCAAAATTAGTCTTTTTCTATCTTATAGATTCAAAATAGGATTATTCTCTTTTTTAATATGATTCATTCTACTGTTTAGTTTGTTTAAGCTATATAGAATTTGTTGCAATAAGTTTTGTTCCAATTTGAATTTAGTATCACATTGTTGAAAATTCTGGAACTATATCTTCTATATTTTCTTTTCTGTATATCAATCAGTTTTCTATTACTTTCTGTTGCTAGTTGTTAATTACATTCTTGTCTTGGACTTCCTATATTTGTTTTATAGAATCTTGAATTCTTTTTTCAAATTCTATATCAGAGTTTTCTATATCATATCCAGGATCAAATTCTTCTGTAAGGATTTTTCTTCATATGAACTTTTTATTGAATCTAATATCTGTTCTATTCAGGTAATTATTATATTGATCTGTACTGTATTTGTCTATTTCTTTGAGGTGGATACTACTAGTTTTGTATTTTGCTTTTTCATGTCTCTTTTGATATAAGATGTTTACTTCTTCTATAATTTTATCCTATTGTTGTATATCTATTTTAAAATATTCTTTGGTACTTTATATAAGTTTGTATCCATATAGAAAAATATACTGTTTAAGTACTTTATTAAGATCTTCTGCTGTTATAAAATATATAACTGCATATTTTCTTTTCGTAAGTATGTATGGGTTTTGGATATGTAACAAACTTTTGCTTTGATTTGTTTTAAGGTATGTACTAATAGATTTGTAAGAGTATTGTATATTCCATATAGTCTTTAAGACTGGTTATTACATTCTCTAATGATTTTATCAACTTATTAATCATTAAATTAATATTGAATAAAAATAGTCCTTATCACTTCTGTTTTAATAGGAATCATTTATAGATCTTCTAGTTTATTATTCTATTTATAAGAAGTAATTTGTGCCTTGATTTTTTATTATAATTTTGAGAATTATATATATAGATATTTTTGTGAGTTTTCCATATATCTGTAAGGCTGCCCTAACTTTTTACTATATATAGCTATAGTCTATATCAATTAGGATTACAAATAGATCTTTGTTTTCTCCTTCTGTTTTTTTCCTGAAGTTTTTTTTATCAGATAGAAATTCTGGCTTTTTTTATTTTTTTTTGTGTTTATGAATATTATCATGAAGTTCTCACTCTCTTTTTTAAACAATTCAAAGTATTTTTTTTTTCTTAAAAGTAAAAGTTGTCCAAGCATTACCATTGAGAAATTCTTTTGTACATAGTTGGAGTTCTTTTAGTAAGCTAAGAGTATTTTAGAGATATGCCATTTTTTCTTTTTCACTTTTTCCTAATATTCTGAATGTTTGAGTTTTCAGTTTGTATATCTTATTTTTGATAATGTGAAATGAATTAATATTAGTTAATTTTAATTTGTTTCTAGTATTGTAGAATTGTAACTCTATGATATTATCTTTTTTTACTTCTTTTTGAATTTTCTTCATTTTTACTTGATTCCCAATCTCTTAATCATTTATTTCTATTTTGATATTGTTGAGGACTTCTATTGTGAATTTTGATTAAAATTTCTTAACTATTCTATTATTTACTAATTTGTCAATCTTAAATATAAGTTATTTGTAACTGTGTTTTCTTGCTTCGTCTATTACTACCAATATGTTTTTTCCTCTTGTTTTATCAGTTTCATATACTTGTTTTTCAAAAAGGGAACCAGCAAATCATCTTTTTTTCTTTGTCCTTGAACCTATAAGTATAGGATATATTGTCTTAGAATTGTAGCTTTAGTGAAAGTAATATGGTTAATGTTCAGGATTTTAGCTATAATATTATTCAGAATTGAGTATCTTGTTTAATTGGAGTTGAGTTGGAGTTATCTTTTTATATATAGATTGTATTGAGAAATATTTATATTATCCAAAATTTTTTTCCTTAATTGTACTTGTTTAATAAGTTGATCAGAATTAGTAGAATGTGAATTTCATATTTCTTTGGAATTCATAATAGTCTACATATTATTTATATGAATATATTTTTTTTTAATCTTGTTTTTCTTGAAGAAATATATGTGTATATATTTGTGTGATATTGTATTTATTGAAATTTTGTTTGTTGTGATATATATGTTTTTTTATTATGTAGTTAATGAAGCTTGGATATCTCTTTAAATTTGATGGCTATTTGAGTTGAGACTAATTTATCTATTTAAATTATTACTTGTAAGGTTTCTCTTGATATCTAAAAAAATGTTAACCTGCACTGATCTAGCCAAGAGCTTTGTGAGATTGATGCTAAACTTCCAAGAGCTTACTATGATTCAGTTTTTGTCTTTGTTTGTTCTTCCTAAAAAGAAAAATTTATATAAAAAGGTTAGAAGTTTTTAAGTAATTACTTGTTTCTATATTGTTTCCATAGTGTTTCTTGTAAATAGATGGTCTTTGATATTAGTTTTCTCTTGTTTTTTTGAGCTGGCTTCTCTTTTTTTCAAAAAATTATCAAAAAAGAAAATTTTCTGAAAAAAATAAAGTGTAGTAGAACGAGTATAATTATATATTATTATATAAATAATATCAAATAATTTAAAAATGATTTTTTTAAAACTTTTTTTACCGATTCTATGCCTACACACAAAAAAGATGTTCACAAGAAATTTTTTATTTCTTTGTTAATAAAGTCTTAACACTATCTTTAAACCAACTTGAAGTTTTACTTTAAAATATATTTTCAAACCCTCTTCCTTGTTTATATTTATTTTCAAACAAAAACCTGGTTTTCTATAATTTAGAAAAGTCAAGAAACACCTTCTCTATCAATAGCAAGAAAGTTCTGTAAGGAAGAAAAACTAATAGTGTAGTACTTGAAGCCTGTCATATTGAAATATATTTATAGAAGTTTCTAGTAGTGAAAAGTAACAAATATCAAGTCATATTTCAAGGTGTCTATCCACTGTATCTTTTTTCTTATAGTCATCTAGAAATTTATTGGTTTTCTAAAGAATTTTGCCTATCTCAATTTGACTTTGAATTTTAGATGACACAATTCATTGCAAAATATGATTGGTGAACATGAAACATGTTAGTAACTGAATATAAACAAGTACTTACTGATCACCTTATATGTCCTGATCATAAAATCATTAGGACATGCACTAACAATAAAACATCAACTTTTTCCCATAGATCCCTAACTATCACTTCCAAAGAAGCATTTCTCCAAAACTTCGTGTTTTGAGAGTAATAAAACTTCAAAACTTTTCCTAAAAACACCTGCTTTACTTAGCAGTAGTTATACTCTACCTTTCTTATTTATCTTTTCTCTTCATAAACCCCCTATTTAAGAAGTTAATGTCAAGAAAACTTTTCTAAAAAGAAGAAACCAGATGAAAAGGTACCCTTATTCTCTTCCCTATGAAGATCCCAGAGTCCAAGAAGAAGTTTAGGTCAACAACTCCATGCCAGCCAGCAAGTTGATATCAATACTATAGGCAAAAATAGCTTCTCTTTCAATATGTAGTAGTTTTTTTGATTTTTTTTGTGGAATTTTGCCTACTCTAGCTTGATCCTAAATTTTTTGTTACACCAAATTCTGGATAGATTGATTGGCTGAAATCTGGGATTGGTTGCTCCACGGTTAGCAGAAATGTAAATAAGGATACATATGATATTAAATGTGAATGCATTTCCTAAGCTTCATAAGAACCTTAGATTCATTATAAGTTACCGGTTAGTTGTGCAGGTAGATAAACATTACATGGACTATAATCTCCTCTTTTTCATCAACTCCAAAAGTGTCAAGGCTATAGATTGAGTACCTTTAGAGGCAAAGTTGAATAGAAGAGCTGTTGTTAGGCATCCCTTTATTCCTTCTCCTATTTCATTTTATTGTAAATATTTTCAATCTTTTCCTTTCATTTTAATTTTTTTTTTAATACTGACTAATCACAAGACTAGTACAAGAGACTTCCAACATTGAATGGTGCTAGAAATCTTGGACAAGTTTTGGCATATTAGGTCCTATTAGTGGATGGTAACAAGCCGATTGGTGGATACATTAATATACTCTAAATAATATTGATTCCTGAATATGGGAATGGATAAGCAATATATAACTTTGTGTATCTTATTTGTCTCCTGCTTTATTTTCAAAAGAGAAGTATTTACACTAGGCATTCATATATTTTTCTTATCCTAATTAGATTAGATATAGATCAAGTTATAAAAATAGATAGCTCTTTATTCTATTTCTTTTTAGTGATCTATAAATCCATAGACAGTACAAGAAAATATTCATTCTGATTGTTACTAAATATGACCTTTTCTTATTAAAGCACTGGAGAAGATGTGTGATGAGCCAGTTTTAAAATAAATAAAAATTAGAACAGGTATTAAATTTCTTAGATAATAAAAGGTGGTTATTTGTTCAAGCCAAGATCTTTAACTTCTTATTATTCCAGTTAAGCAAAATATATGAAAGAGATTATTTTCTTATCCCAATTAGGCAATAAGACCAAAAAGTAGAAGACTATGAGTCACTACCCTTTTCTATGATTGAGAATATATTTTTTCAGATATTGTATAATGATATTGCAATTGACAAGGATTTCCACTACTTTATAAGACCCTTTTACCATTACAAGACAAAAAGATTGTTATGGAATCTGACTTTTTGAGCAATAAAAGATATTTATTATTAAAATTCCTTTAACTATTGAAATTAGAGGAAGTTATCAACTAAAAAAATAAAGTGACTTTATTTAAAAAATTTTAAATAACTATTAATTTTACCGAGTGTCTAATGAGCATATGATGCAATATCTTCGCTTATTTCAGATAATATGGATTTTTCTTGTATTTAGTATAATTAATACGTTCATAATGTAAACATGAAAGCACTATTATCGACAGCCACGAGGGGCATAATAAATCATATCGGTCATGCATCTGACCTTTCTTGACCACATTGAGAGACGTAGTACACCCAGCATACATATGTAGAAGCCCTACGATAATCAGTGGTACAGCCATGGTTCTCCTCCCCATCGGACCATGCAACTGGCCCTCCTCGACCACATCGAGGGGTGTAGTACACCCAGTATGCACACGTGGAAGCCCCACAATAATCAGTGGTACCGCCACGGTCCTCCCCATCGGGCCACGCAACTGACCTCCTCGACCATACTGAGGAGCGTAGTACACCCAGCATGCACACATGGAAGTCCCATGGTACTGCCACGGTTCTCCTCCCCATCGGGCCACGCAACTGACCCTCCTCGACCACATCGAGGGGCATAGTGCATCAAGCATGCACACGTGGAAGCCCCACGATAATCAGTGGTACCACCACGGTCCTTCCCATCGGGCCACGCAACTGACCCCCTTGATCGTATCGAGAGGCGTAGTACACCCAGTATGCACACGTGGAAGCCCCATGGTACTGCCATGGTTCTCCTCCCCATCGGGCCACGCAACTGGTCCTCCTCG